ATACAATGCTTAGAATCATATCTTGTCCGGGAAATAGAATCATTATATTATGTGGTAGGGTCAATCTTTCCAAAAATCCAAATCTCACAAAATGCTAATATCAAAATATAGTTATGACAATCAATAGAAGAACCTCTAAGATTGTTCAAGTTAAATGCATAATCCAGTGACTTGATGCTAAAGCAACACCATCTCATGAAGTTAGCTTCAAAAACATTGACATCACTACTAAATTGGTTAAATTTAAGCGAAAAGAATTTCCAATTATGTAAAAAGGTTAACCTCATCTACTTCTATGGTTTGCTCTTTTCTAACTAGAAGCTCCTCTGAGGAACACAAGCTTTCAAGCCCGAAAAACCAACCTGTGTCTGTTAAGTGTAATACTTCGTGCTAGGCTGATAAGCATTATAAAAATCTAATAATCCATAATTTTAACTGGTTTTGATTGAATCTTCTTTGCATGAATCTGCTATATTAATAAATGAAATTTATATTTTTATTATGTTGAGAAGGAGAAGAAGATACCTATGCACATCGAGATTACTCCAAAGCGACAGTCCTTGCCACGGCGCTTCATCTCATTCAATAGAGTTGCAACACAGCGGGCACCTGATATAGAAAAGAGATTTTCAGTTCAAAATGTGCCTAACATCAACAACCAAACCAAACTTTTCAAAACTTTAAACATGTTATGCAGTTTGATAACATTAGAAGGTTATGAATAGGTATATTTAAATATCACATCTACATGCGTGCAAATGCATTTTAAATAATGGAAACACAGTTTTGTTTCAAGTGGCATTTGGGAAAATATTAATATCAAACTATCAGTATGAAAAAGATAAAAGAAAAAGAATCAAACTATCAATTTTTAGATAGGAAAGTACCAGTAGCACCCAATGGATGTCCAAGAGCAATTGCACCTCCATTGACATTGACCTTGTCAGGATCAAGCTCTAGTTTCTTACAGCAATATACAAACTGAGATGCAAATGCCTGGACAAAGAGTATTAAATTGGATAATCACAAAGTCTTGAGCTGTTTTAGATCTTTTACCATCAAAATGATGAAACCTATACAAATCCATACCTCATTTATCTCAAACAGGTCTATATCATTAAGCTCGAGGCCAGCTGACTTGACTGCAGCTGGAATGGCAACAGCTGGACCAACACCCATCACTGCAGGATCCACACCAACAGCAGCAAAACTTCTGCAAGACATAATGAGGAATTGTAAGGGTTCAAAGGTGATAGAAAGAATTTATATTTTCCATTTTCATGTTTACTTTTGCTCAGGAAAACATTTCTCTTTAAGAGTGGTTTTGTCCATAGATTTCTGTCCATGGAAAGTCATTTCATTGAATTGAATATTAAAGTTCCATATCTACTGGGGTTCACTCAAGTGAGAAGGTTCAGATCCCTCCTTTGCCATTTGGGTGCAAACAATTCCAACAGAGCATGCCCACCACCCATGGGTTTGCCAGGAATTTGAGGATAGACAGTTTGCAATACCTGTGGGACTAGTCAGCCCAAAAAGTCTCGATACCCATGATATATATATTGTAAATTTGTGATTCTTGTTGTTATGCAATCTGGGATTTTTTTATCATGGCCAATGCACCTGCTGCTCCACCAACTCTCATAACTATTCCATTCAGCCTAATCTAAATGATAAATGTTATGCTAATCAAAATCTATTTTTTTAAATTTTAAGTGCCAATATCCCTGTAGCTACCTCATTACCTGAACACACCAAGAATTGGAAGCCCTTTCTGGATAGCCACACTTCTCTTCATAAGGAGGACTGCTGCAGCACCATCACTCACTTGGCTAGCATTTCCTAAAAAACAAATTCGAAAACCACTTCTAAATAAATACTACATGGTTCTCTCAGGCAGAATAAAAAAAATAACTCTAAAAGCATGCCGTTACAATTTACCAGCAGTTGTGGACCCATCCTTTTTGAAAGCAGGCTTCAACTTTGCTAGATCTGCCAAGTTGGCGTTTGGCCGGATTCCATCATCAACAAAAACTGTGACTGGCTTTTCTACTCCAGTTTTTGGATCCACAATCTTTGTAATTGTAGATTAACCACCAAAAAAAAAAAAAAACTACAAGTTATACAGAGTTATCATAGAGTTTCAAACCAGGCACAATTTACCAAGAAATTACCTTAGTAGAAACAGGGATAATCTCATCTTTGAATTTACCAGTTGCTGCAGCAGCAGCAGCATGCCTATGAGATGCAACCTATTGCAAAAATTTAAGGTTTACAGCTATTAAAGAACATATCAGCTACTACAGATAATTCCACATTAAAGATCAATAGAACTCACAGCTGCCTGATCTTGCTCGAGACGTGTCACACCATAACGCTGTGCAACATTTTCAGAAGTAATGCCCATTGGAAGAAGACAATCTCGGGCTTGGGAAAAGCTCTCTACCTGTTCATAAAAACCAACTTGAAGATAACAATTATATAATAAAACATATTCTTGACATAAGCAGGAATTGTGTTACTTTTGGGTTGACTTTTGGAACATTTCCAATAGCATCAATTGTCATGCACTCCAAGCCAGCAGCAATGCCTGCATTCAAAACCAAGCATGTTAACACCGAAAGTTCAAGTTACTCTTCTGGCTTTAACACATACAGGAATAATTCTTACCCAGCTTTCAAAAAATGTAATAGATCAAACTTACCAATGTCATAATATCCTGCTTGTATGTAAACAGCAACATCTGCAACTGCCTGTAGGCCAGATGAACATTGCCTGTTGACTGTTCTAATTGGCACCGTGTCTATTTAGAACAGATAAATTGTATAAGTGAAAAGCACAAACCAGTGGCAATATCAAATGAAACGACCCTATTAAGCTTTTCATTCCCCATTCAACTAACAAATAAAATGCATCAAAATATAAGCCATATTGAGTTTCATTTAGTTAGCCAAAGTTTCTATTCAGAAAAAAACATATTCAAAAGCTTCAACTTAGTATGATAATCTTATGAGTATTGTACTTGCAACTAATTTGTCCCATACAGCATGAGAGTATGAAATGTTAAGAATAGAAACATATAATATTGTGAAAGTGCATTTGTTATATACCAAAGTATGGTGATAAGCATTTCATAACCAAATGTTGAAATTTCAAGTGCATACGTTTTCAACTGTCAACTTAAAGTATACATATGATATGTTTACCTTCAATAAATGTTCTTTAAGCATGTATATATGCAAATGATTCCTCATCAATTCTCATATTTCCATTATCAATGCTAGAACTTTAGCTTCCAGAGAAACTCAACATCACTTCAAAGCAATACAACAAGTAATTTACTAAAAATAAGAACAATACCAGGGATACCAGCGTAGAATGCTGCCATCCTGCACTCTATTCCTCTTTGTGACCCAGGTGCCAAAACTGTACCTACAACTATATCCCCCACTTCACTTGGGTCCAAGTTTGTTTTTTGAATCACAGCCTACATTGACAAATATGCGAGACATGGGATTATATCTATGTGGCAACATAAAAAAATAAAATGATAAATCAAATGCAAAAGCATCTGAAACCTTCAAAACAGGAGCAAGTAAATCATCAGGAAGGGTGTCCTTGAAGCCCCCACGCCTTGACTTGCAAATTGCCGTGCGGTATGCCCTGTTGTTTAACACAAAATTTCCCCTCTTTGAAGTAAAATCAGCAGTTAAAAGCAGAGAGAGCAAAAACAATATAAAATTTTTCATAAAAATCAGACTCCCGTGAAATTTATATTCACAAAACACCAAGCAACTTACGCTACAATGACAACATCATCCGCAAAAGCACCTCTCCGGTGATATGAACCGCCGTCTCCGGCAGCACAAATCGACGGCTGACAAATTCCAAAAAAAACAAGAAAAAAAAAATGAAACGACAGGTTATACAAAAAGAAAAAAGGGGTCAAATTGATGTAAGAAAATGGATTAAACTTACAAATAGAGTAGAAGAATCATGGGATTGAGGAGAAGAAGAAGTGGGTCTGAGATGGTCAAGCAGGATTTTCTGTCTGTTGATAGCTTTCTCCATGTCTCTGAAGAAATGGGTAATCCTTGTTTTTCCGAGACTGAAATGGGTTTTTAATTTCCACAGATCTAAGGTTTATAAGGTGTAAAGAGCTTGAATGGAAAGTATGAACAACGTGGGTTAGTTGAATCGGGTATTTAGGCACCAATGGTTGAACTCAAGCCTTTAGTGTTTGAATGAGATTGTTGAAACTTTAAATTTTATCATTATCGTGAACTCCGTTAAAAACTAGTAAACCCGTTTAAAAGATAGTACGATGGTTGCGTAACTCATTTTTTAAGGGAATGAAATAATTATCTTCTTAATTAATAATAATTAAGTTAAATTAATTTTTTAATCATTACTCTGAAAAAAAAAAAAAAAAAAAACCAACAACGCGGGTTAGTCAAAGTCTATATGAAGTCGATTCCTCAAAACCACCATATTTATATTACCAATACATAGAGTGTGTCTTGTTGAAAACAAACTTTTTGAGGAAAGTTTTTCCAACAGGACAAAAGTGATTGAAGAAATGTACTCCCTCTGTTCCATATTAATAGTCGTTTTAGCTGATTTTACGAAAAGAAATTAATTAATTACTCTTAATGGTTAATGCTATTGACAAATACATTTAAAATATAATTTTACCCTTCTAATCTCTACTATTTATCACGTGCTAATCCCTCTTCTTTTTTTTTAACTCCATCGTAACGGACAAAACGTCAAACTAAACAAAAAAAAAACATAAAATGTACCCAAAAAAAATACATAAAAGAAATCTAATCATCAGTTTCAAGAAATCAACCTTTATATATATATATATATGTTTTTTTTTTCTTGCTTGCCTTGAAGAAATTGGGTTTTACCAAATTATAGCAATGGAGCCATCGGAAAGTAACAGTAAAGTGAGAACAAGATTGGGGAATTTGAAACCGTCAAGAAGATTATCTTGTTGTAGGACTCAACTAGTAGAAGAAACGTAGGGAGAAGATGACCTTTGAATTGAAAGAAACAGAGAGAAATTTTAGTTCATTGGCTTTAAGATTTTGTATTTATTACGAGTAAGTAGTAAGGATAAATTTGAAAAAAAAAAATTAATGTTGTATAGAAATTTTAAAATGATAGATATTTAGAAACAAATTTTAATCTTTAAAATGACTATTAATATGAAACAGAAGGAGTATATATAAAGAAAGTTAGAAAGTATTAAGTAAAAGGTTATAAAGTTTTATAATATTTAATAAAAAATTAA